ATCGTAAAGAATTACATATACTTACACATATGTGTACATAGATTTATTATATGTACATATAATTGATATGTGTGGTATATATGGGTGTGAGGGAGTGAGAGTGTGTGTGTGTGTGTGTGTGTGTGTATGAGAGAGAGAGTGTATGCGAAGAGATTACCAGGTTATAAACTGATTAGCACAGACCTGAATCTATCCCACACATTTGTCATTCTAAACAGCTCCAATGCCAGGGCTTCTAAAATATAAGCTACTAAAATGAAGAAGACAACATCCACACATGGAGGAGGAGGAATTAGTAAAAAGTAACCCAATACTGCAAAAAAACTAACTTTAAGTTGAGAAAACAATTTTGGATATTGTAATTTTGAGCTTTATACTTCATTAGTCTTTTCAATGCTAGCTCAGTTTTAAGTCTACATTTTCTTTTTTATGATGATGACTCTAAAAAGCCTAGCCAGATGTCTAATAGACTGTGCCATTTTCTGGATTTTTCTAATTGTTTCTCTACAGTTAAATACAGGTTAAACATTTTTCATGTAAAACTACATAGATGTATACATCTTGCCACACATCATGTCAGGAAGCACATGTGACTCAAACTTTTAATACTAATTACTTGATTGTTTGGAACAGCTGGGAATCATCTAATAGCTCCATTTGCAAAGGGACATTTTTCACTTTGTATTGAGTAAATAATTTGTGGGATAATTTTTCCCCACTGACATTCATTTTTGGTATGTCTAAGTGGTTTGGTCACTAGGATGCTATTTTGAGACTCAGTATCTGAAGCTATTGTATCCAATCCTCATTTATATTAATTATTATAGTAAAAACTGCACACAGGTAATTTTCTAATTCAATGATGTCATTTATATGTATTAGTTGAAAGCTTCTGTGAAGACTTTATACTATTCCTTCCCTTATTTGATGTAATATAACCCATTATGTTCATTATATAACACTTCATTCTTCATGCTCAAATTGTTCCAGACTTTTTTTTACTGGTATAAAATTCACACATAGTAGTATTATTAGCTCAGGTGTATTTCTGTATGTATAGCAAAGTGGTCACCACAAAAAGCCTAGTTAACATTCATTACACAGTTTAAAAAAATTTTCTGTTTTGCCCTCCCTGGTGCAAAACAGGTTAAAGCGCAGCCCTAAGAAGCTAGCCACAGGCGCTTGACCATAAGTTCAATCCCTGGCCAAGAAGGTGACCCACATGGCACAGCAGACCTCTCCTGTCTAGCCCACTGCTCCCCTCAACAATGCATTTCATCAATCTGCCTGTTCTGCTCCCCACTCCATCTCTGGTGAATCCTCTCACTGCCCCTGTACCTCTGGCCTGTACCCCAGTTCTGTATGCACAAATAAGTAAATCTTTAAAAATAAACTTTTTTTATGATGAAAATTTTCAAAATTTATTGTCTTAGCAACTTTGAAACATGCAATATGGTATAACTACAGTCACCATGCTGTGCATGACAAAATGTGACCCATTGAAGACTCTTCAAAGTGGTTCTTATGTCCTTTTGGGAAGTCTCCATCAGTTTTAAGAACCTACTTATTCAACAAGATTTAATAGGCTCATCTGCTATTCTGTCTCCCACCCATGCAATCAGCCATTTCTTTTTATTTTTTAATCAAATGTTATTGGTTTGCCATTTGCTTACAGAATTATATGATCTGGGGAGTACAAGCTCCCCCCTCCACATGTACAATACTTCATTTCACTGCCCAACAAAACCCCAGTGCCAACACACATCAAAATACCTCTTCTGTCCCCTCTTTCTTCCTCCCTTCCCCTCTGGCAACCACCATACTTTTCACAGAATCTGGAGTTATTTTGTTATGTTTTGCCAGTTTGTTTTCCTGTTAATATTCCACAAGTAACAAGCAGTATACACAATAGACAAGACATGGAATCAACTTAAATCTCCATCAACAGATAACTGGATAAAAACTGAGAGAGATCAATGGAATACTATTCTGCTACTAAAGAAGATGAAAGTGACTCTTGGGAGAATATGGATGGATCTTGAGGTAATTGTCATTATAATTATTTCTGAAATAAGTCAGAAAGTAGAAGGCAATTACAGGAATCAGCAATTTCTCCAAGGAGCCCTAGTTCCTTTCAGTGGAGAATGATATTTAGAAAAATAAGATTAAGTACTTACTATATTTGTTTCCAGGCCCATGGCATAATAGAGAATATATCTGGCTTTTGTCCCCAGTTCCTGGCACAGAACTTAAAAAAACCTTGGCATTTCCTAAGTGATAGCAGCATCTTTGTAATGCTTATGAGGTGACTCATGGTGGACCTCAAGATAGATTCAGGATGGGGGTTGGTCACCAGAAAGACAATCAACCACTGAGATCTCCAGAGAAGGGAATGAGAGATTGAAGAATGAATTCAATCATATGGCCAATGACTTAATCAATTTTTTTAAAGATTTATTTATTTATGCAAGAGCTTGGGTCCTGGCCAGAAGTGTAGGGTTAAGAGGATTCACCAGAGACAGAGTGGGGAGCAGAATAGGCAGATTAACTGAAATACACTGCTGCAGGTGGGGAGTAGCAGGTGGGTCAGGAGAGGTCTACCACACTATGTGGGTTACCCCCCTAGCCAGGAATCAAGCTCGAGCTGCAGTGGCTTCAGAGAGCTTCATAATGAAGTACTGTGCTTTAACCTAATGTGCACAAGGGAGGGCCCTGACTTAATCAATCTTGCCTGCATAATAAGTTCCAATAAAACTTCTGGTTACTAAAGTTCAGTAGCGCTTCCTAACTGCTAAACACACTGTATGAATATGTAGGAAGTAAAATGTGGCTAAATTCCACAAAAAAGAGGGTACAGAAATGCTGGTTTCTTTCCCACTACTGCACCCCCAGATCTTATCCCATGCCACTTTCCTCATATAAGAAACTACCACATGTTCCAGGACTATTCCTGGAGTTTTATTATTATGCATTAATTCATCTGTCTTATCAGGAGCCAGTACCACAGTTTTAAGTAGAGAGATACACTATAGTGTTGCCGGGAACCTGCCCCAATTAGCGTGTTTCAGTATCTAGTAGGGTTAATCTTTCTCATTACTTATGCCAAGGTGTGCTCAACTATTTTTGCATGTTTACTTTTCCCCATGAACCAATCAGGATAGCTCCAGAAAATATACACACACCCTTACTGATATTTTCAATGGGACTGCATCAAATTTCTGTTATTACCTGAAAAGAATGAATCTTTACAATATGTCACCCTAACTCTTTTCAGTTGTTCAGCTTATTTGTGTCTTTCAGAAATGTTTTAGTTTTCCTCATATAGATTTAAGACATTTCTCTTAAAATTTATTCCTATGTACTTTAGTTTCTTGATGTATAACTGACATTACATAAAAAGTTCTTGCGACAAGAACTTTTATGATATAGTATCTTAGCAACTTTCAGAAATGCAATACTATATTAACTTCAGTCACCATGCTGTATGTACTAATGTACAAAGACCTATGACTTCTTTATAACTGGAAGTTTGTACATTTTGATCCCCTCTAACCCATTTTGCCTACTTCCCCTACCCTTTATCTCTGGCATCTAACAATATGGTCTATGTAACTACGAGAGTGATCTGTTTTTAGACTCCACACTTCAGTTAGATAACACGATGGTGCCTTTCTCTCTCAGTTCACTTACAATGTCCTCAAGGCCCTCTATGTTATCGCAAATGGCAAAACTCTCTTCCTTCTCAAGCTGAAGAATATGTGTGTGCGTGTGTGTGTGTGCAAGCCATGACTTCTATACCCATCTTCCTTGGACAGACAGGTGTCTGCATGTCTTGCAATTAATACCGCCATGTATGGGGGTACATATATCTTTTTGAATTAATGTTTTCATTTTATTTGGATAAATATCCAGAGGTAGGATGTTTCATGTTATGACAAACTTCCACACTGTTTTCCATACGTGGCTGAACCAATTTATATTCTCAACAACAGTGCCCAAGGGTTCTACTTTTCTCACACTTGTTATTTCAGGACTTTTGGATAACAGCCGTTCTAACAAGTGTGAAATGATATGTTGTTTTCATTTCCCTTTCCTGGATGAGTAATGATGTGGAGTATTTTTATGTACCTGTTAGATTCTTGATCTTTTACATGACTGTTATCATTGGTGATTGCTTAAAAACAAAAAAGCTAATGTCTTTTTACCTTACCAAGTCCTGCTTTACCAGATATCTTCATTTCAGCTTGAATAATTGTCACTGATTTTTTTTTAATTTTCCATGGTTTTCTCAGTTTCCAACAATTTCTTTGTTTCAAATTTTTCCATTGTTTTCTTTGTTTCTTATCAAGCACTTTAAGCACCTGATAAATTTTTAGTTTAAGAAATTCTCATTTTCCAAAATTCACACATACTTTAGACTTTATATTTTTATACTATTATATGCATTATGTAGTTTCAATGTTAAATCATGGGGATCTACATAAAATCTTACTATACTGTGCATTCCCACATTTACCTAGTCACTGAAACAATGAATATACATTAAAAGCACAGCAATGCCCAGACTGACATTTCCTAGATTCTGAGAGCCGATACCCACAGATCTCAACACCTCTAGGCCAAAGTGTCCTGCCTAGTCCTGATACCACACAGTCTGTATACCAGGGAAGCAACTTGACATTCCACTACAATCTCAACGTTAATCAACCTTAACACGCTATACACCCCTGACATCTCTGGTCACAGCACTAAATAAAGTCCTTCCAATGACCTACCTTTTCTCTTGATTCATGCCCTAAAATCTTCTGCCTATCTTATTTCAAACTCATTTTCACAAGACTGAGAGGGTAGATATTCACAATCAGGTAAAAATAGCAAAAAAGTATAAAATTTGCTAGGTGGGAGGCAAAGAAATAAAAACTGTAATTAAAATTCAACGCAGAATGCTGATGTTGGCCAACTGCAGGACCCAAGTTTATTATTTCCCAGAAGTACAGTACCTTTTCTTTCTTCACATGATTCATAATCTTGCCGAGGTCCTCAACATCAACAACAGAATTTAGACTCGGGTGGTCTTCAGTACCAGATTCTTCCTCACTGGTACTCTCAGAGGGCTCCTCCTCCTAGAACATCAAAGTTTCAGAAATACATTGCCCCAAGTAGCAAACACTCAGACAGTGGATGAATTGGAGATATTTTAGGTGAGTGGTCCACGAAAGATGCCCACGAGCCTAATACTCCCAGCCACAGGCCAAATCTGAAGGCGCCCATCAATTACACATTGTATGTGGCTACTCTCTTGGTACATTGGCAGATAGTTGCAACAGAAACCATATAGATCACAAAGCTAAAAATATTTACTAGCTGGCCCTCTACAAAAAGTTTCCTGACCCTGTTTTAAACAAAAAGTCAACCAGACTTATGGAGGAATTAAATGCAAGAATAAGGAAACAGAAGGAATCAAGCATTCTTATGCTTCTTGAAGTCATTAAGATACTATATTGGCATATACTGATAAAAGCATAAATCCATCAAGAAGCTAGAACAATGTTAAGCATGTATACACTTAACATATAAAACAGCAAGCAGGTAGCAACAGAAAAGGCAGAGAGCAGGATTCACCTGGCTCAGTGCTTAGCCAATAGAGCTAGAGGAGGAAGTGGGATGTAATTAAGATGTTTATAAAAGACTGAGTATATGTGAACCTTGGTAAGGACAAAGGGAAGTAAGCAGTTTCCACTACCCAAAGAAAAAGCTATGGGATCAGAAGAATTTAAAAGCAGGAGCAACAGAAAGAAACCAACATTCAGGTCACAGCAGTATGAAATTTCAGAGGTAACCACAGATGTGGCTGATGACTTGACCGCCAAAGGAAATGGGGTATCTGAAGGGAGAGAAATGCTTACAATGTGAGGAATGAAAGAGATGCATCTAGGATGATGGTTTGCAATCACTTTTGAGTGAAGCCATTAACAGAACCATTATATAAGGAATATCAGGAAGAATACGTGTTTTGTAGATAAAATTTAACTTCTCTGGGCCTCATTTCCTAACCTGCAAACTGTGGTAAAAATCTAAGATGAAATGACTAAAGGAGATACAACAACACATTCAGCACAACAAGACTTAATTTCTAAGGCCACTTTCACTCTAAAATACACCTTCTAGCCAAAAGCCAATGAAAGTTTCTCAAGGCAGAGGTAAAATAAAGTTCAGTGTCTCCAAACACAGGAGGAAGACCTCGAGACATGGACTCACGGGACACACCTCAGTGTCTCTGTGACGCTGTCCTTCCTGAGCGGGGGACCCTGGCTCCAATGCCTCCGAGCCATGCTGATTAGATTTACATTTGCCTTTCTTGCAGTTGCCACCACAGGATTTTTTCTCTCCCTTACAAAGCACCTGTAGCCGGGAGATGAATTTGGTCTTCCAAGCTCTGAAGTCAGCTTCAATGCTGCCATGTTTGCTTTTAACCACATCACAGTCGCCTTCCCCTCGAGACATCACTCTATGAGCCCCAAGCATCCAGAGCCACTTATCAACATTTTTGCCAACCTGCAAGAAAAAAAGATGCACTAAAAACACAATTCTCTAAATCAGAAGTTTACGAAGTGCTGTGCAAAAGCACAGGACTCCTGGGACGCCTTGTCCCGAGGCTGCAGCTGAGAAGGCGGACGGCTCAGCAAACAGGGCTTCAGCCTCCCAGTCCCGTCAACCGACAGGCGCCACAGTCCACACAGTCAGGTAAGATGTGGCATAAAATTGTGGAAACAAATGGACAATCAAACCCTTTTATTAAAGGGTTACTACTAAGAAGGAATCTGAAAATTACTGCTCTAAATCATGTTTGGAATAAAGTAACTCACTAATAAAATGAATTTGCTCCAAAATTTAACAAAGCCTAAGGGGCCAAAACTCTTCTAATGACAAAGTACAAATGGAGCCCATTTGGCAAGACTCGAGATTCCATAAATGCAGAGGTTTATTTTATTGCAAATGAAAGCAGCTAAACTGAGGCACAGCAGCTTCAAGAAGCAGAGTCAGGGTTTAAATATCTAACTGACTTCCTGAGCACCATGGCATTAAGCAAAACATAACACAACTGATTTTCACCGTTTTCAGGCTAATGCCTTTGAAAATATGGAGGGAACACATATCTTGACAGCAAATGAAAAGTCTAAAAAAATAGCTCCGTCTCATCCTTGCTCATATTCTACCAAAAACAGATGAGTGGGGCTGGGCCCAAAGTGAGGAAAGTTCTACATAAAAAAGTTCTTTTGAGAGCTGCTAAGAACTGAGAGTTCCCAATTTTTTTATTTTTTAAAATACAGAGAACAGAATGCAAAAGAAAAGGAGCCAAGTTAATTTCGTTTATAAAAACAACCCTGTAAACAATATTTTACTACATAAAGGGCAGTGAATATTTTTCCTCTATTTTGCTTTAAAAAATACTGATTAAAAGACAAGTTTAACTGTATTACGAGTTAGCATGGGTGGTGAAGACTGTTCAACATCAGAATAGGGAGCTGACAAAGTCCAATAATCTTCCATTCACACCAGGTTCTGCCTGGGAACAGGGGCCATGACATTAAGGCTGCTAAGACATTAAATACAGTCATTTACTTTAGTCACTAATAACATACTGAGAGCTGACTATATGCATAAATTGGGCAAGTATGGAGTAATCCCAGCTATGAAGGATAATGTGAGAAATATTTAACTAGTTACCAAAATTTGTAGATTATTTCACATACAAGTGTGTGTGTGTGTGTGTGTGTGTGTGCACGCACGAACTGTTTTGTAATCAAAGGGGATCACCCCTTTAATCAACATACACCTACTTTATACCCACCTTGTTGAAGTGGCTCACATAGGCAGAATTTCCCAGGCCAAACACTGCGTATCTCATACCCTTCAGGTAAGTTTTGCCAAATCGAAAATCCTTGGCTGCGTCCTCTAACCATCTGCAGAACCATTCCGCACTCTCGGTTGGCCGGCCATCAGTGTATGTAGCCACCAGGAAGGCACAAACATTTTTACTAGTAACCTAGCCACAAAAGTAAGTCAATTATTTTATTATTTATAAAAATACATACAGAACTGGGGTAAAAGCCAGAGGTGCAGGGGCGGTGAGAGGAATCACCAGAGACAGAATGGGTAGCAGAACAGGCCAACTGATGAAGTACACTGCTGAGGGGAGCAGCGGGCGGGTCAGGAGAGGTCTGCCACGCCATGTGGGTCACCTCTGGGGCCAGAGATGGAACCCGTGCCAAAGCAGCTGGGGCTAGCTTCATAATGCTGCACTTTAACCTGCTGCGCCACCAGGGAGGGCATGAAAGTAATACTTTAGAGGAACACTGAAGATATGTCACCTCAATGAAGACAAAGTCTTTTTTAAAAAACTGACATTCGGGCTCTCCCTGGTGGCGCAGCGGGTTAAAGCACAGCACTGAGAATCTAAAGCCGCTTCCGCATGAGTTTGATTCCCGCCTGCCCGGGAGGAGACCACATGGCGTGGCAGACCTCTCCTGACCCGCCCGCTGCTCCCCTCAGCAGTGTACTTCGTTGATCTGCCTGTTCTGTTCCCCACTCTGTCTCTGGTGAAGCCTCTCACCGCCCCTGAGCCTCTGGCCTGTACCCCAGTTCTGTATGCACAAATAAATAAATCTTTAAAAAAAAAAAAAAAAAACTGACATTCACTTCAAACTAACTGCTCAGAACAATGGGTATTTTCAGAAACATCATTCATTTCCAAAAGCGAAAGAAAACACAGCGAAGACATGTTTGCAGGAGAGAAAGCCCAGTGCCCTGCCCTGATTCCCCTTTTCATACACTCCATTCCAGTTCTCAGACTGGAAATTTCTATCTCCTCTGGCCTGTCACATTAGAGATAAAGTCTGAATCAGTAAGGAAGAAATATGTAAAGATATCTTACAAATTACCTGAAAAACTAAAGCAATAAAACTAACAGTGACGGCCCTCCCTGGTGGCGCAGCGGGTTAAAGCACAACACTGAGACCCGCGGGGATTACAATCGAGATGGAAAAAAAAAATGTGCAAAATGATGTAAAAATAAACTTTGTAATAAAAAAAAAAAAGCACAACACTGAGAAGCTAAAGCCACTTCCGCATGAGTTCGATTCCCACCTGCTCCGGAGGAGACCACATGGCACAGCAGACCTCTCCTGACCTGGCCGCTGCTCCCCTCAGCAGTGTACTTCATCAATCTGCCTGTTCTGTTCCATCAATCTGCCTGTTCTGTTCCCCGCCCTGTCTCTAAAGCCTCTCACCGCCCCTGAGCCTCTGGCCTGTACCCCAGTTCTGTATGCACAAATAAATAAATCTTTAAAAAAAAAAAAAAAACTAACAGTGAATAAGCACCATCATCTCTACGGGGAAATAAATACATTTTCAGGCCTTTTAGCCATAATATATTTCTTCTGCTTGAACATCTGCAATCATGAGGTGAATTATAAACAATCCCTTACTAATGATTGTCAAAATTTGCTAATACCTTTTCACAAATAATTTAGAACAAAGTCAGGCTCATTCATGACACTCCAATGTGTTCTTGGAGGAGAAAGAAATGGACAGTTATAGCTACAGTTTAGTCATTAAGAAGGGGCTGGTAAGCAACAGCCCACAGACCAAATCCAAATGCAGTTTTATTAGAACACAGCTGAGCCCTACCTTCACATATCAGGTATGGCTGCTTAGGGCCTCATGAGAGAGCTGAGTAGCCACGTAGTCCAGAAAGGTGAACCTATTTCTGGGCTGGCCTTAGCAGGAAGTCTGTTGAGTCCCGTTCTAAGTGCTTCTCCAAAGTAAGCTGCTTCAGAATCACCTGCAGCACTAGCTGAAGCACAGTCCCCCATCCAGAGTCTGAGTCAGAGGGACTGGGTTGTGCCCTGAGAATCTGCATTCCTAACAAGATCCCCAGAGATGTTGATACTGCTGGTTCAAAGCCACCGCCAAAAGGCTAACTTCCCTAACTCGGTAGGACTACAGAGGAGGAAGAGACATTTCTCAGGAGAGGAAATTAAAGCCTCTCAGGCGTTAAGAATACACCAAGGTCACACAGGAGACTACCCTGACTCCAAAACCCATACTCTTTCTGCCACCCAGTGCCTCCTGACCTGTCAGTTGACTTACACCGGGCCCCTGGGCACAGCACACTGCCAGCAACCAGCCTCCCCTGATTATGAGTGTCAAAGCAAAGGAGGGGACCCCAGAAGTCTACCACACCAAAGGGACAAGCGCACGCCACTTCAGAATCAGTGTCCACAGTCAGCCGCTCTAATTCACAATGAAAACGCAACCAGATGAAATTCCTCAAGACGAAAATTAAATGTATTCTGAAAATTCTATTTACCCCAGATAAATAGAAATTCAATTAAATAGGAAGTCAATTCAATTTGAAGTTTTGATTGAAAACAATTACCAACCTCTTCTGCTAGATGATCATCTGGATCATATTCTTTCAGATTAATAACTGCCACAGGTAGATCTAGGGAACTAACTTCCTCAGCAAGAACTGTTGCAAATCCCTAATAGGAAAAAAAGAACATCAAATAAAATCAATAGCCCAAATAAAACGATCTTCATTCACTCCTGTTAGAAAGGGAATAGAGCGTTTGTCATGAAATACTTTTCTGGTGACTCAAGTTTATCATCATAAATACAAATACTACTCTCACATTTATAATTTTGACAAGCATGTTTATACAGATCAATTGTTTTTCTCACTTATAAAGTTATACACAGAACTAAATCTAAATTGGCTTTTTGATATTTCAGTTTCTTTTCTACACCAGAACAAACACACAGATATACAAAAAGAAAGACTGAAGAGGGAAGAGAATGGGAAAGATGAGAAATGTTAGCCCTCTTCTGGAAGACAAAGAGCCTACAGTAGCAGGCTGACAGACTGGACAAAGTCTTAGGTCCACATTCCTGAAGAAGGCAAGAGACTGGGGCCCCAGTCAGTCACTGAGGTAGGGGACAGGCAAGTCAGTGGCAGACAGTCTGCAACTGAGACAAGGGCAAACAGAGCCGAGGGCAGGTGATAGGCCCCTAGACCTTCAAAGTAAAACCAATGTTTGGGGACAGCTAGACTTTCAGGCAGATGTTGGCACCATAGGAAAACACCCTTCTTTTTTGCCTGCCGAAGCCCATCAAACATCATTTACTGGGCCTCTACCAGGCCAGTCTCAACTCCGGGCAATATTACGCAGTGAGCTAAACAAACAGAGGCCTTGCTCAGAAGGAATTTATGTCCTAATGGACAGAGAGAGAGAAATGAGAGAATGTACAATCTATCAGTTGGTGGTTAATGCTATGGAGGAAAATAAATTAGAATAAGGGAAAATAAAATACTTTTGGAGGTGGGAAAAGGACATATGGAGAGTCAAGGAAGTATATATATATACAAAAAAATATTAAATATTTGGTCTTTGTCTCCAGCTCCAGGTATAGAACTGCTAAAATCCTTGTAACTTAATGTTTTTGTTATGCTAATGAAACAGCTCAGGGTGGGAGTGGGCCCCTGGGGGGGTTTATCACCAGAAAACTAAGTTCATGATTAGAGGCTCAGAACTTTCACCTGCCCCCTTCACGCCTCACCCTGTGGACTCAACAATCAGAGGTCAGTGATTTCATTAACCACACATATATAATAAAGCTGACATAAAAGACACCAAATGACAAAGGTTGGTGAACACAGTGGCATGCAGACAGGCAGAGCACCCGGAGAGGGCCTGGAAGCCCTGTGCCACTTCTCCCCAAACCCTGCCTGAGGCAAGCCTTCCACTTGTCTGAGTTGTCCCTTTGGAATGAGCCAGTAAACAAAGAAAAGACATTTCATGAATAGTCTAGGGAAATAGCCAACCAAAGGAGAAAATTGTGGGAACTCTCAAATTTACAGTTGGCCAGTTAGAAGTAGGGGTTGCCCCTGAGACTTGTGACTTGCATTTAAAGTATGGACAATCCGGCAGACTGCGTGCGGCCTTAAGCCTTCGGAGTCTACCATTGACTACATCAGTGTCACAGTCAGTATCAAAGCTGGAAAACTGATATGGGAAAACAGGCATTTGGAGTCAAAAAACAACAGGCCTCAAAGATAAAGATTTGAGCCAAACCTGAAGGAAATGGGACCATAAGCCACGTGGCTATCCCAACCAGGGACAACAAGTGAAAGGATCCAAGGAAGGAAACAGCCTTCACAAGGAGGTTAAAAAGACTGGAGAGGCCCTCCCTGGTGGCGCAGCGGGTTAAAGCACAGCACTGAGAATCTGAAGCCACTTCCGCATGAGTTCAATTCCCGCCTGCCGCCTGCCCCGGAGGAGACCACATGGCGAGCCAGACCTCTCCTGACCCGCCCACTGCTCCCCTCAGCAGTGTACTTCGTCGATCTGCCTGTTCTGCTCCCCACTCTGTCTCTGGTGAAGCCTCTCACCGCCCCTGAGCCTCTGGCCTGTACCCCAGTTCTGTATGAATAAATAAATAAATCTTTAAAAAAAAAAAAAAAATCTTAAAATTTAAAAAAAAAAAAAAAAAAGACTGGAGAATGGGCCCTCCCTGGTGGCGCAGAGGGTTAAAGCACTGCCCTAAGAAGCTTAAGCCACTTCCCATGAGTTCCGATCCCTGCCTGCCCCAGAGGAGACCCACATGGCTCCTGCCCCAGAGGAGACCCACATGGCGTGGCAGACCTCTCCTGACCCGCCCACTGCTCCCCTCAGCAATGTACTTGTCAGCCCGCCTGTTCTGCTCCCCACTCTCTCTCTGGTGAATCCTCTCACCGCCCCTGCACCTCTGGCCTATACCCCACTTCTGTATGTATAATAAATAAATCTTTAAAAAAAAAAAAAAAAGACTGGAGAAGTTGAGGCCAAGGTCATGAGGAGAGAGATAATGGCCATCTACAAAGGGAAAAGGTGACTAGCCTTCTTATCAGCAACACTACTAAAAGGCTTTAGAAAGTGAGGTGTAAAAACCAGGGAGTAACTCGGACTTTATGCTACCAGCCTAGTCTCTGGCCACCACCTGTGGCTGTTTTCCTCCAAGCTTCAGTACCCACAGGAGAAACCTTGTTATTGTTAAGAAAGGGCTTAAGAGAATGAGCACAGGGCACAAGCACCTTTAAATACAAACACCCAGGCTGAGAATGGGGCGATCACAGGGACTGGAAGGTTCAGTTGCTGCCTGCTGGTCTGCCTGTGTATCTGCCCCCTGCTTCAGCATTAAAGGCATATGTAAAGCTCCAAGATTCCTTTTCCATTTGCCTGAATCAACACTGAACCTGCCCAGCGGGGGACAGCTGCATAATATGAGGCCTTCAAAGTTGTAAGGAAAAAAAAATTTAACCTACTCTTGTACACCCAGCCAAATATAAATAAGCCAAGTGAAAAGAGTGAAAAGCAGAATAGAGAAATTCAAATGGCAAGCTTTAAGGAGCGTGTTCTAACCCATGTCAACAACATTAAGCCGCTGAGATTTAAGGAATGTTTGTGTTAACTAACATAAGGAGTCAATAACTTGTACTAGTGTTGATAAACCTAGAAACAGAAGCAGGTTAACGAAAGAATCAAAGGAATTAAAAACAGAAATAATTGAGATTCTCTGGAAAGTACTTTTCATTGTGAATCTTATGTACACCTGGGTCTATTACCATGCAAATTATTTTTAAAGATTTCTTTATATATACACAGAAGTGGTATACAGGCCAGAGGTACAGGGGTGGTGAGAGGATTCACCAGAGACAGAGTGGGGAGCAGAACAGGCAGCTCAACATAGTACACTGCTGAGGGAGCAGCAGATGGGTCAGGAGAGGTCTGCTAAGCCACGTGGATCACTTCCCGGGCCAGGGATCGAACTCATGCTGAAGTGGCTTTAGCTTCTTAGTGCTGTGCTTTAACCCGCTGTACCACCAGAGAGGGCCCACCATGCAAATATTTTTTTGTTTTGTTTTGTTTTTTGTACATAATTGTTAGCCCCTCTAATTCTTGTGTTACATTGGTTAAGTAGGATTTAGGTGTAAAAATGCAAATATTTTAAGAAATTTTATACTACGGATAAAGAGGCTCTCAATGAGGTCTCTTATGAGTAACATAAAAGGACTTCGTTTTTGTTGCTCAGATTCCTCTTCTGCCTTTCTTCCAGTTTCTGCCTCTGTTACTTAATAAATAACCTGCAATTATGATGAGAGCAAAGTAACTGTACTGGAAAGCACTAAAAAGTAGTATTCTACAAAATACCCACAAGAGGGCAATAGAACTCTTTAGTACTAATACAAAATAACCTTGATTTTTTTTTATTTCATTTAATGTTAGCATTCAAATTTTTTCCTAGAAAGTACTAATATCTGTGAATTTTGCAACACAAAAGTAGGCAGCATCTAGATATACACACAGGCATAAAAGAATGAAAAGCACCTTCCAGTGATAAACCAACAGCCTAATACCTACTTTAAACAGTAACACTTTCAACACTATTAGAAATCAAAATACGCATTAAACAGTTGTATGAAGTTGTTAAGCAGGGTACCAACTGGACACTACTGCATCATTCTCTTCTCACTGTCCTCTACTCTTACGTGGTGCAGACACAGGGCTTCAATAGCAGGCTGTAAACCCTTCATTCTGCTGAGGCCAAGGACAAAGCTTCAGAACAAAGATCCCTCAAGAGGGTGACTACCAGAGACCAACCAATTATCTGGAATGGGGTATTAGAGATAAAAGCCACCCACCATCCTAGAAAGGAAAAGATATATAAGGGAAAAGAAAAAAAGGATGAAGGCAGATTAGAAGATAGCAATTCAGTTCACTATTAAAGGACGCTGACTTTTAGGAATTTCCTTAAAAGATCAAATCCAAGGAAAAACATAATTTAAAGTTCTTACCTTTGCTGTGCCAGTCTGGGAACCATAAAAAATCTTCACTCCAGACACAAACACATCCTTCTTTTGCAGAGAGATATACCCATTTGTTGTCAAATTCTGGGTTGCTTTTGGGACACACTTCTGGGGGTTATCCTTGAAGACAAGTGACTACACAAAATCCATCAAGTTTAACTTTTCTAAACTTCAGTATGAAAACTAGCACAAATCCTGACCCATTTTTAATATTCTCAGTCTTTCTAGTTACACTTCTCAAATATTAATCCTTCTGTATAATTCAATCTTTTAGAGGTGGACCCAGATTTCTTAAAAGTACTTATGTTTATCCATAATGTGTTTTAGTGGAATAACTATAAATTTATTTTATAAATTTTATGAACTTTTGATGGGAAGCCCAGAAGGATTACAACTGAGATGGAAAAAGGCACAAAATAATGTAAAAATAAACTATCATAATAACAAATAATAATAATAACTCCACTTACCTGCTTCCTGATGACAATCTGGAAGCAAATCCAAAAGCTAATTCCAAAGGCAAAGCCCAAATATATGTAAAACCTGTTTATCCATAATGATATTAAAGGTGAGGAGAAGTCCCATGTATCCAAAGAATCTAAATTGAAAATTATAGATATGTAATCTTGTTTAAAGCTACTTATACAAAGATGCCCATTCCTATTTTAAGAAAAAAAATAAAAACAACTCAACCCAACTAAGGAATCTACAAAAAAATCAAATCTAATAAAAATATACTATGTAATTTAACAAAATTATCATGACAGTACTAACTTGAAAAATTAAATGTATGTTAAATCATTCTACCTTCATTTGAAAAGAGAAAGAAATGTAAAATCAAAACACTTTATGCGAAATTATGAGTTAACTTTGCTTTGTTAAGCTTGCTCCATAAGGAAAAAAATCAAAATACTTAAAATTTACCGTTGTATCGTTTTATTTCTAAAAATCTAAAAGGGTTTGCAAATAACTGACCTCACGCCTCATTTTCTGAAGGAAAATTCAAAGTGCAAGTACAAAACTTGGGGTCTACAGGTCTTGTCCCACCCTGAAAAGATTCCAAAGGTAATCAATACACGTCGGAGAGGGGGCACAGTTTTTCTGCCTTTTACCGGCAGTTTGAAGTAGTTTCCTTCTAAATTCACCCGTATCAAGAGGCCAATAAAGAAAGCCAGTTGAAAAGTAGAGAACAGTCCTCCCTGCACCCCAGCGGCGCTGTCCCATGCTAGCAAGTACAACACTCTCTGAAGGGAGACCCAAAGAAACTAATCCAACGGGGAAAGGGCTCAGAAAAACGGTTTCCTACGTTCCCGCCCCACGAAACTTGCCCGCTGAGAGCCCTTACCCATTCTCCTCAGACAGAGAGCCCTGCAGCCCAACAGACCAGGACAACGGACCCGAAAAATCTGGCGGCCGGCGCAGGACCCCGGAGACAGCCAGAACTACCTCGCAGGATTAGCTGCAGGGGAAGCCGTGGAGGCAGCCATGCCACTCGCAAACTGGTGGGATTGGCTCACAGGGAGGGAGAGGAAGCGGAGCCCCGCTGGTGCTGCTCCGATTGGCTTAGAGAGGAAGGGGCGGGCTCAGAGGAAAACACCTCCCGGGGTCCTAAGACAGGAAGCCGGAGCACTCTCGGCCCTAACCCGATTGGCTCGGAGGGGAAAGGGTTTGGAAAGAGGGGGGAAGCACCGCCCCGAACCCGGCAAAGGAGCCCGAGCGCTTCCGAATTAGCAGAGAGGAGGATGAGGCTGGGAGGAAGAGTGGCGCTGGCTGAACCTGTTTGGCTTGTGGGAAAGGAGGGAAAGCGGGGAAGGTGAGAAGGACGAAGGGACGCCATCAACCACGTGTGAAATCAGTGGAGCTGTTTGAGGCTCAAGTCAAGCACAGCCAGAGCATGAAGGCATTATTGAGGGGAAATTTGATTTGACTATCAAATTATATTAGGCAATTATGGTTAGTCTTGGTTGTACCTGTCAGGAGTATAGACTTAAGTATTCACGGCTAACTACCTTAATGATTTGCTTTAAGATACTCCAACCAAAAAATAAGGGGACATGAACAAGACAGGCAGATGTTGATAATTACTGAAGCGGAGTGAGGGGGACAGCTCACTCCTTACACTTTTTCCCCATGCTTTTTTATGTTAAGATTTTTCCACAATAAAAGGTTACGATGGGTGTAGCGGGGAACGAGACCCTGTGTTTTCACCGAAACCACCAAACACCAACCCCATCAGCCAATCAGAGCCTTTTTGCCCTCGGCGAAAGTCTAATACGTCAAAGGAGGGCGCCTCTATTTCCGACGCGGGCCGATGTCGTAGACGCCGCGCTCGTCCGCGCCCAGTTGCCGCAACACCTGACGTGCGCGCAGTAAGTCAGCCCGGTGTATTGTGGCGCCTGGCCGGCAAACTTAGTGGCTGCGCCGCGCCCTCTGCTCCGCCGCGCGCCGCCGGGTGATTAACAGCTAGGACGGGCGGCTCTCAGGCCGGCGGCGCGGCTCTGCCTTACATCACCTAATCCAGATTTGAGAGCAGCGGCGATGTCGATCTTCACCCCCACCAACCAGATCCGCCTGACCAATGTGGCGGTGGTACGGATGAAACGCGGCGGGAAGCGCTTCGAAATCGCCTGCTACAAAAACAAAGTTGTCGGCTGGCGGAGTGGCGTGTAAGTGACCCTCTCCCTCCGAGCCCTGCCTGAAACTGATAGCCTCCAAAGGGCCTACTTTGGTCGTGGAATAAATGGGACAACCTTGTCGGGGAAGGGATGGAAAACTTAATCCCGCTGCGAGTGTGAGAAATCGCTTTCTCTACCGAGCTTATCGCCTAAACCATGAGTTCGTTTTTAGTTTGGTTTGGTCGGATTTGTCTGGTTGGTGTCATAAAAGCTACAGCGAGAAACCCCCATAATTATGTTCCTTTTGCCAGAATGATACAAGCCAAGGGTTTGTTATTCCAAATACTTTCGTAGTTATAACCCATGCAATGTCAACTAAGCCTAGGCGTTTCACCCAAGTGTATAATGTCTTCACTGGCGCCATCTAGGGACCGGTGGCAGAAGCCTGTCATCCCCACCGCCCAGTGATTCATGCTTACTCCCATGACGTGTTTCTCTGACGAGTAGATGCAAATACAAATGGAATTCTGGGTTTTGAAAGTGTTCTCTCTGCACTGAAAGTTATTTAGGAGTACCTGTTGTTTTCTCTTCCTTATGTCGTTACCGTTTTGTGGATTGATTTCCAAGTTACAAGTGTATTCATTTAGCACTTTCTCTCCTGCTCTCACAAGGGAAAAAGACCTTGACGAAGTTCTACAGACCCACTCTGTGTTTGTAAATGTTTCTAAAGGTCAGGTTGCAAAGAAGGAAGATCTCATCAGTGCATTTGGAACAGATGACCAGACTGAAATCTGTAAACAGGTGGGTTCTAAGAGTTGCAACATAATTCACCCAATATCCATTTGTGAAGTACTTATAAGGTATGTTAAACTCTAAAGTATTGGCATGGACAGTTAACATGCAATAACTTGATCTGCACATCATCACTTTAATAACTGAAAACACAGATTTTTTTTGTCATAGCTTCCAGAAATTCCTTTTCAACTAAACTGCTTATTTTGTCTTGTTATAGTACTATACCTGAAAATATGACAAATATTTTAGCCTTTAGACATTTTGCTAAGATTGCCCATCCCCTTTCACCACCCAGTCCTAAATAAGTGAGATTTTCAAGCAAAAGATAATCTAGTGTATCCTTTAAATAACTCAGATCATTACCATGTCCAATAACTGAGATGAAATATAATTTCTCCCCAGTTAATAATTGTTACAGTTAGTTACAAATAGTGGATAATAGAGCTATTGCCTTCTTAAATTTGTTGTATTTTTCAGATTTTGACTAAAGGAGAGGTTCAAGTATCAGATAAAGAACGACACACACAGCTGGAGCAGATGTTTAGAGACATTGCAACTATTGTGGCTGATAAATGTGTGAACCCAGAAACAAAAAGACCATACACTGTTATCCTTATCGAGAGGGCCATGAAGGACATCCACTATTCAGTCAAAACCAACAGGAGTACCAAACAGCAGGTAGGTGGCTTTTAACATCATCAAAAAGCATCCATGAAAATTATTTTTCTCTGAAGAAATCATTAGTTTCTAATAATACTATCTGTAAGTAAGTGGACAGGAAGGTTTGGGGAGAGTGGTGGGAGGAAGGGGTTGTAGAGACTAATAACAATTTTTTTTTTCACTAAACACAAATATACTAGAAGTCTCATTTTCAAAATTTGAGTCCCTTCCTAGTATCACAAGGCGTTCAGTCTCTGCATTATGAAGCTATCCACAGCCACTGCATCACAACTTACCCACATAACACAACAGACCTCTCCTGTCTCACCTGCTGCTCTCCTCAGAGTGTATTTCAGTGGATCTGCCTATACTCACCACTGTCTGATGAATCGCCTTACCATTCTGCACCTCTATCCTACGTCCCATTTATTTATGCTTACAAAACTGGGGTACAGGCCAGAGGAGTAGTGAGTGAGAGGATTCACCAGAGATAGAGTAGGGAACAAAACAGGAAGATCTACTGCAATACAGTGCTGAGGAGAGCAGTGGGCAGGTCCGGAGAGGTCTGCCGTGCCATAAGGGTCAGCTCCCTGGCTGGGGATCGAACTTGTGTTGCAGTGGCTTCTGTGAGCCTCATGGTGTGGTGCTTTAACCCACTGTGCCACCAGGGAGAGCCCTAAAACTTTAAAGTCATTTTTATTCCTCATTGTAGGCTTTTTTTAAATATACATAATTCACATGCCATAAAAGGTAACCTCTTAATGGGCCCTCCCTGGTGGCACAGCGGGTTAAAGCACAGCACTAAGACATTAAAGCCACTTCAACATGATCCTCACCTGCCCTTGAGGTGAGCCACATGGCACGGCAGGCCTCCACTGGCCCACCCTCTGCTCCCCTCAGCAGTGTACTTGGTCGATCTGCCTGCTCTGTTCTGCTTCCCACTCTGTTTCTGGCAAATCCTCTCGCCGCCCCCTGTACCTCTGGCCTATGCCCAGTTCTGTATGATTCAATAAATAAATCTTTAAAAAAAAAAAAGCTAACCTCTTAAAATGAATAACTCATATTCAGAAAGGTTGCTACATTCCCTGTGACCTACTTTGAGAACATTTTTGTCAACCCAAAAATGAAACCTCATACCCACTAGCAGTCACTCCTCGGTCCCCACTCTTATAAACCCTTGGCAACAAGGTTTGCAACAAATGAACATCCTAGCTCTATGAACTTACCTACTGTGTACATTCATGTAAGTGGAACCCTACAGTATGTATTCTTTTCAAGGTTCATCCATGTTTTAGCATGTACCTGTACTTCATTCCTTTTATGACTGAATAATAGCCAATTGCATAGAAAGGTAATATTTGCTTATTCATTAGTTGATGGGCATTGGGTGTTGCCACTTTCTAACTGTTATGACTAATGCTGCTATAGAATTCATTACAAGTTTTCATGTGGATGTATGTTCTTCTATACCCAGGAGTGAAATTGCTAGATCATGTAGTAACACTACATCTAAACTTCTGAGGAGCTGCCAAGACTTTTTTTCTAAAACAGCCAGAGTATTTTACGTTCTTACAGTCAGCGTACAAGATTCCAACTCCTCTTTATTGACAGTATTTGCTATTGTGTACTCTTTTGATTATAGACATTCTGGAGCTGTCATTCTGGTTTTGATGTGCACTTCTGTATTGACTCATGATTTGAACATATTCTCATGCGCTTAATTGACCTTTTTCTCTGTCTTGGGAAAATCACTATTCAAATTGCTTCTTCATTATTGAGTTGAAAGAGTTCTTTATGTATTCTGGATGGTTGTGCCTTATTAAATTTCTCTCTATGGATTGCCTTTTCATTTTTTTAATAGTTTTTGAAGCAAAAATTTTTAATCTTGAGTCAAATTTATTTTTTTCTATAGTTATTTATGCTTTTCATGTCATACCTAAAAAACCATTGGTAATCCAGCAAGCTGGAAACTGCTTGGTTTTGAATACTCTATGAAATAATGCAACGGAAGCTACAAAAAATTACAGACACTTTCTCAATTTTGTCTTGATAGGCTTTGGAAGTGATAAAGCAATTAAAAGAGAAAATGAAAATAGAACGTGCTCACATGAGACTTCGGTTCATTCTTCCAACGAATGAAGGGAAGAAACTGAAAGAAAAGCTGAAACCACTGATCAAGGTTATAGAAAGTGAAGACTACAACCAACAGTTAGAAATTGTAAGATTTCTTACAGTTACATTCTTTTATCTTTGTCTGTGCATTAACAGAATAGTTGATTTCCTAGTTAGAAACATTAAGAAGGTGTGAACATTAAGAGGGTTCCAGAAACATGTTACCTAGAGTTGGGTAAAACTGTCAAAACCCAGGCCCTCCCTGGTGGTGCAGCGGGTTAAAGCACACTGCAAGCTGGCCACAGCCACTTCAGTGCCAGTTCAATCCCCTGCCACGGAGGTGACCCACATGGCGTAGCAGACCTCTGCTGTCTCGCCCACTGCTCCCCTCCACAGTGTACTTTGTCGATCTGCCTGTTCTGCTCCCCACTCTGTCTCTGGTGAATCCTCTCACTGCCCCTGCACCTCAGGTTGGTACCCCAGTTCTATATGTATCAGTGGATAAATCTTTTAAAAAAAAAAAAAAAAAAGTGTCAAAAACCAAGTAGAAGTGTTGTAGGTAAGAACACTTAGGATTTTTTTGTTTTTTAGTTAAAATTATTCATCGAACTGTTGGGCATGTTCATTTTATGTGGGAGAAACTGTTTTAACAGTGAGTCATATCTTTGGGTCCTCACCCTACATCTTCAGTATAATTTTAGTTCTCTGCAAAGTTATAGCTTCAGACTTTTCAGCTGCTTTAGCAAATAAGAGCTCTAGAGAATTTTTGAGTTTCCACTGCAGATGTGCAATAGCTCATCTGATGCTCCTTAAAGTTCTAAAATCTTCTCAAGACTTTAGGTTTCTAAATAGACTAGACCTTAAGCGTTTTTGCTTAAGGTGAATAAGAAGAGAACTGCAAAATATAATGCCAAACATTATTTGAACATATTAAAGAACTTTTAGTATGAAAAGGACTGTAGTCTTCCAGTCCAACCTCTTCATTTTTATAGGTGAGAAATCTGGCAGAGTTTTTAAATGGGGATGGTAATGCCTTGTCACACAATCTATGTGTAGCATGCATGAAATATTGTGTGTTTATCATAGAGAGAGTTAAAGATACTCTGTTCATCTTTATGTGGTAAATAACTGTGTTAAATGTTTCAGGTGTGTCTGATTGACCCAGGCTGCTTCAGAGAAATTGATGAACTAATAAAAAAGGAGACAAAAGGCAAAGGTTCTTTGGAAGTACTCAGTTTGAAAGATGTGGAAGAAGGAGATGAAAAATTTGAATGACATTCATCAGTCTCATCAGCTTTACAACACTAAAGCATTTTCATTTCCCACAATCCTTTTTTCTGTTGTCTGCCAAATATTTACTCAAACTAGTTAACATTTTCCAGTAAATAAGTATTATGATGTGGGAGCAGTTTGGTTTTCTTTACAAATTGGGATTCTAGGCAAAAATGAAAAAATCAAGATTTTGCTGCTATGTCCTATGCCTTTGTAGCTTTCCATAGTGAAAGGTACCTCAGGCAACTCTTGTGTATAAAAAGTTAAATTTGGTAGCTTATCATTAATTTGGGGAGGATATGTCTGTATGACAAAGGGAGTTTTTGCTGGAAAAGAAAACTATGTCTTATTTCTACTTAATGAAAGTTGTTTATAGGGTAACTGTCATGGCCTAATAGTAGAAAGCTTGGATGAGGACTTCCTGTAAAAAAATAGATTATATAGATACTGGGCAGGACTTAGTCATTTTCATTGAAATGCTGCCATAACCTAGGTGGTTCTCAGTTAAAAAAATATATAGTCATGTGTTTCTAATTCCCAAAATTTATAATATATATTAATATAGCTGAAATTATATGTAATCAATAAAGCCATTCTTTATTTTTATTAAACCCTTGTGTTTCTAAACAGCTACCGTGTTCTTTTTCTTTTCTATGCCTCTTAGTTTGGTAGGGTTGGGGAGTTTTGGGCACAGTGGGCTAAGAGAAAAGGTCTTAAACTAGGACCTGTTGTGATATAAACACCTGATCAATCTTAGCTAATGTTATTTGGGATGTAATGAATTCTTTTCATATTTAAACACTTAAATGGACTAAGTACAAGTTTTTAAAAATCGATCCTCAAAAGATATATTCTAGAATTAAGGTTTCACTAAAGATAAACATACAGATTATTTAATGGATAGAAGTTTTTAACTGTAGCCAAGTGTTCTTAAAGAGGCCCTGATTGGTTTTATAAGTACACAAAATCGTTAATACAAGCTCTCGAAAATGTTCCCTTTTAACGTGCCTTCAAATGAAATTACAAAGCCCAAATCTTTCCTCATAATATTAGAAGAAATGTTCTTGCTTGACCAATTTAGTTTACATTTTTAGTTTCTTTCCAACTTACAGTTAAAGCAGTGTTTCAGGTTGAAAGTCGGCTACTAAAAAGGATCAATAACTGCATGTTGAGGTAAAGACAGCATTGACTTCAATTTTCTGACTTTGTATCTTCTAAAAAGCTGGAACTTTAAGAAATGTCACATGGTGATGACATCTGACTCATGCTTCTAAACCTACAAAAAACAAGGGTTTTGCCTTACTTTAATTACATTGCTCAAATGTAGTTAAACATCTGACTTACGATAATTTTCCCATTACCCCAGTTATATTGGATTCTTTTAAGGATTGCTGTTTTGCTTTTTTTTATTTACAACGTATGTTTTATATTTGGTCAACATCACACTTCAGAATTAACACTTCTATTAGCATAGTTTTGTTTTTTTCTGTAAGCTACTTTTGGGTCCACATAAAATTTGCCCAAGCTGTGAAACTGGACTCCCAGTGCCACTTTGAGTTTCCCTCTCAGACCTCATTTTGGTCCTCCCTTGTGTTAAAAGAGTCAGCCTATTACTTTGTGAGCTTCTTCAGGGCCAGAGATTAGTCAGTCTGTGTACCCCACCATGCTTTAGACCTAGTAGATGTGGAATAAATGTCTGCAGTGATAGCAAGACCCATGCCATCAGACGTGAGAAAATATGATTGACATTTTCAAAATTGATGGTGTAATAGTCTGTCTGCTGAGCCAGAGCTTCCCAGCCTTTGTACTGAAGGCTGCTGGTGTGCAACTGTTTCTGGTCTGCACAGATCCCCTCCAGCCTCTCATAGTTGTTCCTGGGTGTCATGTATTCTATGGTCTGTGGTGGTACTTACAAGCAATAACCATACTGTTTTAACCCACTCTGTAGCTTCAACCTGACAGCATGAGTTAACCTATGATTTGGGCACTAAGTTCCTTAACACCTTCATGGTTTCATAAAAGTTTAAAAATATTTGTTTTTTAAAGATTTTTTTTATTTATGCATACAAGAATGGGGGTATAGACCAAAGTTGGGGGAGGGGGTGAGAGAATTCACCAGAGGCAGAGTGAGGAGCAGAACAGGCAGATCTATTGAAATACACTGCTTGAGGGGGGCAGCAGGTAAGACAGGTGAGGTCTGCTGTGCCATGTGGGTCAGCTCCCTGGGCAGAGATCAAATTCAGGTTGCAGTGGCTACTGAAGTCATAGTGCTGAGGCTTAACCCTTTGTGCCACCAGGGAGGCCCAGCTGAAACTATTTTAAAAAGGGACTTATCACTGGACTTGGGATGAGAGGAGAAATAGTTAAGGATGTCACAGTTACATAAATAGAATCATCTGTTACCAAATCAAGCAAAAGCAGTTATAGATGGATCTTCAAATGTGAAGGTTATTACAAAATAGTCAAGCAACAAACTTTGGGGGTCCCCTCTAAGACACTTTCCAGAGCAGTGGTAACCCAGTACAAAGAGACTATTATGACTTCAATCTGAAAAGCTGAGAGTCTGGGATTAAGTGGCCATGAACTGAGAAAATAAATTGCAAACATGAATCCCTAGTCCAGTCATAAGAGCAGTGAACGAACCACAGACACTGATTTACCATACAGATGCTTCTCACACAGCAATTCTACACAGTGCTTTCTTGTGTCAAATGAAATGTATTCAATATTTACAATTGATAACTCTTGCAAGTAACCTGAGGCCAGCTACTCCTTAATAAAATGTGTATCCCCAAACTCCAAAATCTTAAACAAGTCTCAAAATTGATGAGAATAACCAAAAAATGTGTTATACATGTCATATGTATTGTCATTACATATCATATGTATTGGTATTGACTGTAATGATCCTGACCAATGAAAAGGTGGGGCAGTTAAATGAGACACACACAAGTTATAAACAAACATCTACTTGTTTACAAAGACACTAACAGACTTGGAAAGGCAAGGGCAGAGAGGCCCTGCCTAAATTAACAATTCATCCTGACGATGTGCCTCTGAAAAGTACAAACATAGGTGCCATATTTAGCCAATTTGAAGCACATATGGAATCCACACCCAAGGCCCTGATGCCTCCTCCAGATGTTGGTGAAAGCCACCAAGGGCTTTAACTGAGTCACCTTCCCCGCTCCACAGATGGACAATGCCTGGGGGACAGGCCCCACCCACCGCCAAGAGGTTTATAACCTTTCCCCTTTTACTGTCAAATTGTGTATCAAAATTTTTGGTAAGGTGGAGCTCCCTCATCACCCCTCCCATAAGTTCATATTGTGGCTTGAGTTGTAAGCGAAACTTCCCACTCCATTTTAAGCAGTGTGGCAACCCAAACCTCAGGTATCATACACTGGGGGTGGGGCAAAGGTATGGGGATCTTGGATTCAGGTGTTGACTAAGCTCTGTGCTGTTCTGTAAACAAGGCAGGCATGTTTCCATCCCCTTTTAGACAGGTGTGGGTTCGCTGTCTAGAAATGAGCCTTAGCTTGCTCTTCAGGCTCCTGCATGTAAAATGAGCCAGGCTATAGGGCATATATGAGGATCAGACACAAGCAGGGATGTGTATAGATTACTCTGGGACACCAGGTCTTCACGGTAGCCAGAGGCTCCTGAGAGGACAGGAGCTTTAGCACTCGATGTGATGATTCAGTGAATGATCACAAACGAGGCAACTATCTCCCATTTTCAAGCAGATTATGAAAAATCTTAACTCCCTATTGTAGTTGGGTTTTAATACTGCCTGAAGCACTTGGATTTAATCTAAGCTTGTCAATAAATGCAAAAGAGATGCTGTTGGTTATATACCCACTTTGGAACTAAATTTACTCTGTGGTATTTTAGGGTTTTTGCAGATGTAAACTCCAAAAATACAGGAGGGGGGGGGATTAGATTCAGAACATTCATAGAACATCTGTGAATTAAGAAGCTATCACTTTCGAGTATAAATACCTTTCCACAATAATGTGATATACTTTGCAGGACATATTAAGTTTGGTCTTCATTGGGACCTTCTCTTGAGAACAGAATACCAGGTAGCCCAAACAATAGTAGTTTAGCTACTTGTGAACATCTTTTCTTACAGCACAACAAAAACCATTTTGCAGCATACCATCTGAATTAACAGGCACTTTTGGGTCAAAGTAATTTGATTCAGTTTCCTTTCATTACTTTTGTTGAGGTAAATGGCTTCTAGCACTGCTCTGACTTAGGGGAATAGATGCACACCTACCGCTGGATCACCCACCACCAAAGCACCTTTACACTCAATCCTGTTACTACCCTTAAAAGGATACTAGAAGTATCTTAAATTCTGCAAGATATTCCCTTCTTAAAGGGAAACCTGTGTTTCTGATCTCATATTCTGTTTTAAAACAGAGGGCTTCTCTCACTCTACACGGTCAGCTTGTGTAAATTCTGGCTAGAAAATATTACCAGGGGGCCCTCCCTGGTGGCTGCAGAGGGTTAAAAGCACAGCAATGAGAAGCTTAAAGCCACTCAGCAT